TGTAGTAAGCAGCAATGTTTATTTACAATGATGTCAATGGCGTTTCAAAGGAACTATGTAGTACTGTTCATTTTAAGCAGTTTTTCAATGTAACTGAGTTTGTATTAGTAAGGTTCAAACTGTAAATGCAAGATAATACATGTGGGTTATCATAATTTGAATTATAAGTATAATTTGGATGGGAATAACCTTAACAATGTCATAAAAAAGGAGGAGGGTCTTGGTGTAATGGTTGTTCAGTCTCTTACCTCTAAGTTTAGGGGAGTGTACCCAAGTATCCTCTCCCATAACCAACAAGTTGAAAGTAAAACTGGAATGATCATTTGGTGATTATTCGGTTAAATGTAATAAATGTCAACTTTGTTTTTGTTTCTAATTTTTGTGTATTTTGTTTATTTGGGGAGGGGGCAAGGGGAGAACCCGGTACCGGGTCACCATAAGAAAGGAGTTAACCCATCCAAGTAATGTGCTGTTGCTAGTGGTAAGGCAAATAGGATTTTAGATTATATTTACAGATATATTGTATACAAGTCTATACAATTTCATTGTATGGGTGACTGGTTAGGCCACATTTGGAGTATTGTGTATAGTCTTACCTCAGGAAGGACATTGAATTCTTAGAAAGGGGTCAGAGGAGGGTTACTAGAATTGTGCCTGGGTTGGAGGGTTTTTCATATGAGGAGAGATTAAGATCTTTGAAACTTTTTGCTCTTGAAAAAATAAGAATTAGAAGGGATCTGGTTGAGATGTTTAAGATTGTTAAGGGAATCGATAGTGTTGAAATAGCATCTTTTTCAATAATTAATGGCAAGAATAGTAGGACTAGAGGACACAGATATAAATTTTGCCAAGTTTGGAGTCATCTTCAGCTAAGACCATTTTATTTTTCTAACAGGGTAGTTGGCTTTTTGAGTGGGTTGCCTTCAGGTGTTGTGGAGTTTAAGAGAAAGTTTGATAAGTGTATGAATGATAAAGGCTGGCTTTAAGATTTTGTCTTTTTAAATTTATAATGGTTTAGTTTAGAGGATGGGACAGCTGAGATGGACCAACAGATCCCTTGTTGTCCCTAAACATTGTTATCAATGTTAGCTGTTAAATGTACATATTAGTTGCTTGTATCAACTTAGCTTTTAATAATAATAAATTATAATTATGGTTTAGTGTATATATATTTGTATTAAGTGAAACAAATATGCTTATTAATTTCTGAACTGCTCAGTGATATTATGAAATTGTAAACCAACCCAAAACTCCTAGATTTTGTCTCAAGTACAGGATTTTATAAATATCTCTTAGACAGGGGAAGTCCGAAGCAAAGAATGTATGCTCCAGCAGAAAGTCATTTTAGATCAAGATCTCCTAATAACAGATCTGGAAACTCAAATGGAAATGCATATCGGTCTTCTCCAGGGAAGATGGGCAACAGAGATGGTTTTAATAATTTTACACCTTACAGAAGTCAGGGTGTTAACTTACACAGATTAGAATCATATGATAATGAGGCGGTTGTCTATTCTGAATCACGTGCACTCTCCAACTTTTATACAGATATGGAAGCTAGCAACTTATGGAAAGGATATACTGACTCCACCACCAATGGTAATTGTGGAAAGTTTCAGAGCTTGTCTGAGAGAAAAAGGTGGTCTCCACGCCAAGAAAGGTAGTTAATATGTGATAATCATGTGCTTATAACATAAAAAAAAAACGTATGTTGAAATAGTATACATAATCACTTTTTTATTATTATTTAGTTAAAGTTTTTATTTTGACTTAAAACTATCAGTGCTTCAAGAAGTAAAATTATTTAAAAGAATCTTCAAATATGAGTTGTATGTGGTACAAGTTGTTGTCAAGAGGTCATGTAAAAACAACTGTCACATTCAACTTGTGTATTGTTCAAAATATAGCTGTGGTTAAAATATGATACAGAAAATAATGTATTATTATGCAAGTCCTGCAAAAAACTTAGAATCAGAAGTTTTTACTGTAGGAAAAAATTACAGTACAAGATGCAGCTTTAAGTAAAGTTCAACAAGTACTGGATTTTGTCTTTAATATTATCACTACTAACTTAATTAGTTATTGCCAAAGGTACTCTTGTTACTAATTAAACTTTTTAAGGTTTTGAATAGAAGAAATTAAATAGTGTTATAAGTTTTATTTATGTCTTTAAAATGACCTAACAATTTTTTGAGAATTAGATGTTCTTACAACAGCTGCCTATTCTTGTATGGCTTGGTTAAAAAAACAATTTTATAGTGTAAACACTTAATTCTACTAGTAAATTGTATGCGAGATCTCTATAAATATTGTTTACTTAACTTAAGATAAAAGAATCTTTTTCTAATTTGTGTGTTTATGATTTACATGTAAAAGGGAAAGACAAAATCAAAAATTTTCTCCTCATCGAAATGATTGTGCCACATCTCCAAGAAGACTTGTTAAACAAAGACTTGTTTTTCATGAAAGAAACTACTCCCCACGAAGTCTTAGGTTTGAGCAACTCCTAAGGGAAGATAATAGCAGGCAAAATTATGGGCAAGGACAGAGAAGTCAGGAGGATATTGACAAAGAAAATACCAGAAGAATGGACAGAAAGACTTACAGTAATAACCATTATAACAGTAATAATGCTTCAAGATACTTAAACAATGGTAGAACAAGAAGTAAAAAGTTTTTTAGTGATGAAAATCCTGTGGGAGGGAAGCATTTCAACTCTTCAAAGTTTTATAATTCTAACAGATCACACAATGATTTTGAAGCAAGTAGAGCACCTCTCAAGTCTTTAACAAGGTTTGTAGCAATTAGCTTTGATTGTTTAAAAGGTTTTACAATAGTGAAATGTAATAAAACTAAAGTAGAAAACTCCACATTACGCTGTGATTATATAGAAAGTGAAGATTTTTCTCAATTGCTATTTTGACTTGTTCATTGGATGCTGTGGGTATATGGGTAATCTTTAGATTATAATTAAGTACTTAAGGAAAAATAGATTCTAAAATAAAAACTGACAACATAAATAGTTTTAATAGTTAATGCTATTTGTGTTTATATATATATATATATGTATGTATGTGTGTGTGTATAAACACAAACTTAGGTACCTGTCTTTGTCCAGATTATGAATTTAAAAATATCTGGGAGTGTATGCTATGATAAATATCACAAAAATCTTTCACACTATTTATTTATAACATAACATATTATTACAGTATTCATTATTAACTCACCAAAAGCTTTAAGAACTCAATACGTATATACTTAAAACATGGTATACACTGTGCGATGGTCAGAGCGACTCTGTAGGAAAAGGTAGTAGCCAAAGTAGTGGTGGTAGTGTTACCTGCTTTCAACACCCAGCTCTTCATGTCCTTTCACAGTGTTTCACATGATTAATTAATTGACGATCATTGGCTGCAGAATTTTGTTATGGGCCTAATTTGAAAGGTCATGTTCAAAGTAGGAGTGTGGCTGTTGGAGCAGAAATTTCAGCTGAGTTTATATATTATTGCAATTGTGGGAACCATGTTTTTTTTTTTTTTTCACTGCATTCCTCTGTAGAGTGCTAGTGCACTCTGAAATATATAAGCCATTTGTGTGCCCTCCTCTCACACTGTGTGTATGTTGTGTTATAAGAACATGATGCCATTTATGAATGTATTAATGTTGACTTATATCCAAGATAATAAATGCTCAATAACTGCAATAATGGGGTAGAGGGGGGCTGTAAAACCCCCATTAACATGCCCTTTGTTCCACACTATCATCCCACATAATTTGGTTGAGATTGGCCCAGTGTCCTAGGAGTAGTTAAATAACAGACAAATAGACACACAGATTTTTGTGCTATATATATATATATATATACTAGCAGAAATACCCACCCTCTAGGCAAGTATAACTGCTAGTTCCTGCGGAAGATTATTGGTCCTGCAGCCTTTTCTGGAATTGTCTGACAGTTCTTCAACAATGTTCTCATACT